GGTGGGAAATGTTGGGGGGGGGGGGCAGGGAAGAGATGAAGAGAGGTCTTGGTTCCTTTTACTCCATCAGAACTCAAGTGTGTGAAACTGGCACCACATGCTTAGAAGTATAGAGCTGTGTTGTCATGTCAAAGCGGGAGTTAGGAGCATGCAATATTTCTAGCACATCAACAATTATTGTTCTTACTTGCAGCATGGTTAAAGGGATAAAAAATGGGGAAATTTGCATGTATTGCACAGATGTACTAAATATGGTTTGTTTATGTTTTTAATGTTGCCTTGATGTATGCATTAATACTGCAGTGTTTATGGCAACAATAATGAGATCTATAAGACTGAAGGAAAATTAGGGTTGTTGTTTTAAGCTCATTCTCTTATCTGCACAAAAAAACAGCTCCCCATTACTTTACTCACGTTTAAATTCATTATACTTGTTAAATTCAGTGTAATAACTATTTGATATAGCTGCAAATACAATGTGATGATTATCATTATTGTTCAGCATTGCTCTTCATGTGCAGGATAACCTAAACATACCATGAGAAACCCATGACCAAGCAAAATAAATTGTACTGCTCACCTGAGGGTTCTTGCCCTCTGTAACTACACATGAGCAAATGTTTATATTGTATTCATTGCTTAAAATGAATCTGTTTTGCCCATACAGGGCAAAGCAACAGGTTAACAGTAATGAAAGCCTCCCAAGACACATAAACGTATCTTCCTGTTGCTTTCCCTTCTGAACTGTTGAGGTGTCTGGAGGTCAAGGAAAACTCTGTGTAAGCTACAAGATGCCTCAATCATAGCTCACACAGGGATACAGACTCCTGTGTGACAGTGCTGATTGGCCCAGTGTTGTCACATGCTCATGCATACCTGGAATTATTGGGTATTTTCTTCAGTTCCTGTTGCTGAATAGAGTGGTGGGGGAGAAAGGGAAAGGAAATGTGAAGGGATGAAAGCAATACCAGAACTGTAGAGATAAATAATTTATCTGATATGTTGTATTGGAGGCATCTCCAATTGTCTGCATGCAACATCTTTTGACATGTCTAGCACCCCAGAATAATATTGGAGAGCTTCTTCAGGCAAGCAGAAACTGAAAGACAGGAAAGTGCAGGAAAAGGCTCTAATCTTAAACTAGTAAATGGAAATACAAGAAGAAATCTCTTCTAACTCTGATACTTATAACCCTAAAATGAGACCAACACCAGCTTTACCTAACTACTTAAGTGAGCCCTAAAATATTCACAGCACCCTGTGCATACCCACAGCACCCTGCATCAGGAGTGTCCACATCCAGAGCAAGCAGTCCCACCTTCATGCAGCACCGCATGACACCAGAAGGAAACACTCAGAGAGGAATTTACCAAAACTGGAGCAGAGAGAATCTGGAGCATTTGTTCATGACAACCAAACAGATTCGGTCTCTCTCATTTTCAAATCTTAACTGAACAAACTGAAGAGAGAAGCTGATTGGTTGACATGGGCAACTGCTCCAAATTCGGTCTGCTCCAGTTTTGATAAATTCTTTTGATGTGGACCTTGTGTACATCAGCATTCCACCACCTCTCACTCGGCAGATTGCAGTAAAAGCACTAGTATGGATGGATGGGAAATTGGCCTTTTAATTTCGTTACTCCTGTATGTCCCTCATTTCCTATGTCTTCTGGGCGATGGGTACTGTCCTCCTGGTGATGTGGACTTATTCACCACGAAGACCCCAAATAAGGCAGCCTCCAATCTTCCTGAGGAAGCTTTTTTTAGTGAAACGCGTAGAAGGTTGGACCCACGTTGTTTAGATCCAAGATTTTAGGATATGTTAATGGAATTACATGATGAACCTATTCAATTATTTGTATTATTGTTTACAAGCGGTTACCATATTGTTGATGCTTAGAATGTGGCTGTGTGGTCCAGGGAGGCTATATGCCTATACCCATTTTAGATTGTACTGTGGTTGAGGGAGTTGCTATGGGTGTGGTATTGATGGGATTATATATTGGCTCTCTTTTTTTGTATATTTGTATTTGTATAATAATAAATACATTTTTTCAATATTGATATACGTGCAATATGTGTTTTTCATGCCTAGAGTGACACTTTAAAAGCCCCACTCTTTCCAGTTTTTGTTACAATTATATTTAGGGGTGTGGTGTCCTGTTTCTCATGGTGGCTCAGAACCTTCTTATGTCTTTTGTTTCCATTTCATGAATTGACTTCATTTTGTTCATGTATATAAGGCTTTATTCATTTCCTATTTTGCTACCTTCAACCTAAGGTCTCTAGCACGTTCAACTGCAGTAATATTTCACATTTCCCGTCTTTATCTAGCCAGGAGTTGTGACCCTTTCGATGGCATGGACCATTGTGGAAAATAACATGTCAATGGATTACAGGCTCCTCTGGCAAGATATGGACTCACTACAAGGAAACTGAAAATAATAGGAGTAAATAAACCTGACCTTGGCAAACATGTCAGGGTCACATAGAGCTCTACAGCCAGCTTTGTCTTTCTATTCTAATGAGAGAAGATGCACATGAATAGAGGATATTGTGTGTCCTGCTCTTCCTTACCTATTCTCACAGAGAAGCTATAGTCAAATAGTTGTAATTAAAACACCCTTTGTGATATCTGATGACTGCGGCATGAGGCAAACATTTTCTTTTCATGTGTAGTTTACTAGCGGTGCAGTCTAGGGTCTAATGTTAAGAGGGTGTTATTATATTTTATATTTATAAAAGTGGCATAAAGGGAAGACAATTAAAAAATTGTGATAATATATAGATAGAAGATAGTATAGCACATTGCTTCCCAAACCTGTCCTGAAGTATTATCAAATATGCATGATTTTCATGCAATTTCACATTTGGTCAGGTGGATTAAAGCAAATCTAAACCCAAAAACATAATGAGGGGAATTTATCAAAACAGGAGCAGCTGTGGGGGGCGTGTCTTGGACATGAAGGTGTGCAGGCGTGTCTAGTTAGAGCTCCGAGCACATCACCCGCAGTGCTGACAACCCGGACTAGGACGAAAATCACAAGCCTACAGCCTTAAAAATGAGCTTGAATAAGAAAAATATGAGAAGCGGGGCTACTAAAACCACAGCCGCCGGCATCAAAAAGTATATGGCACCAGACCGGACGGGCCTGAATACGTCGCAGGGCATGAACCAGACCAGCTTACAAGCCGCATACTCACCGCATTCATCCCAGCATTCATCCCAGCATAGACCGGACCCTGAGCTGTCCTACCTCCGATCGGAATCGGGAGACGAGCTGGAGTCCCGGACTGGAGTGTCGCTGGACGAACTGGTACGTGTCCTCCCCACGAGACAGGACCTAGCAGACATGCTCCGCACTCTTGAGGTCTCCTTGAAGGCTGACATATTGGCGCTTAGAGGTGAGGTCACATAACTTCTCTGCAGAGTGGAAGATACAGAGAGCCGATTGGACAGACATGCGGCGGCTATAGTAACCCTGCAGAATCAGTTCCAATCCGCGGCCAGAATGCAGAGGGACCTAGCATATCGTATGGAGGAGCAACATAATCGGGGACGCCGTAACAACTTGCGGGTGAGAGACCTCCCTAAGGCGATAATGGATGTGGATCTGGCGGTCACCCTGCGAGACATTCTTAACCCTATAATGGGCAGGACCCCTACCACTCTTCTCCTATTTGACAGGGTATATAGAATACCTCACCCGCGGGGCATGCAAACTGAAACCCCCAGAGATGTGATATGTCGATTACATTACCATATGGATAAAGAAATTATTTTGATGAAGCTGCGGGAGACGCCGCAGATAGAAGCTAATGGCGCACATCTACAAATCTTCCCCGACCTGGCTAGAGAGACTCTCACAAGGCGCAGGGCTTTACGGCCGCTGCTAGACCTGCTGCGTTCTAAAGACATCCAATACCGCTGGGGTTTCCCGGCATGTTTAATCGCCAGAAGACAAGGCAAGACGTCGATTCTCCGCTTCCCGGAAGAGCTGGAGGCTTTTTGTGAAGCTCTACAGGTCAAGGCACCGAAGTTACCAGGATGGAACGACGAGCTACCAACCCTACCACCGCTGCAAGATCGGCAATGGAGGGCAGTGAGTACCGCTTTACCATTGGCCCAATAGGAAATTTGAAAGCTCAAAGGCTTGCATGTAGACTTTGTCCGAAGTTAAAAGGGCCTACTCCATCAGACCGAAACCGGTTTGGACTACTAACGAGACATTGGTGAATATGTTTAATGATAATTTAGATATATGGATGCTAAGCTAACGCTAAAAAAGTTTTTGCGGGTGTATGCTGGACCGGGTAGCTATGGTGGCACTCAGGGGCTTTGGCACCCATGGCTACTTAAGACCTGGCTTGACCGGTGGCACCCTAGATGATCCTGCCATGCACCCCACAAGTTATCTATATGGTTCCAAGGGAAACCGTTTTTTGTAAAGTTTTACCTCCGTGTTTTGTCTTTATGATGAATAACACTGAAGAACAAGAAGGGGGATCACTTTCTCGACCCCCTATACTGTTTATGTGTATCTATACTTAGTAGTCGTGCAGAGATCCGCAGAGGCGGCTATGGGGAGAGAGATGGATGCGGTGTAACCTAAATGGCAGATATTAAACTAATTAGCTACAATGTCCGTGGGCTCAATACCCCGGCTAAACGACATGCCTTATATAGGGAATTGAAAACGTTGGACGGAGATGTATTGTTCCTCCAAGAAACACATATATCTCATACGTCACATGTTTAATTGTACTCTCAACAATATCCTATATGGTACTATAGTACGTCACCATCTAGCAAACAAAGTGGCGTCGCCATTGGGTTCCATAGACACCTGCCAGTTAATTTACTCGAGATGAAAACAGATTCTGCTGGGAGATCTATATTTATACGGGGAGAGATAGGACAGCAGGTGTATACTCTGGCAAATATCTATGGACCAAACCAAGCTCAGGTACCATACTTAAAGCAAATACTGAACTCTCTGATGGACTTCCAGGCAGGTATAACGATACTTGCGGGGGATCTCAATATACATATGGACCCGTCCTTAGATTCTTCATCCGGTCGAACACATGTAACATATAGACAAATCTCTAATCTTAAAACACATTTCCAAAACTTACAGCTTATGGACACTTGGCGCACACTACATCCTCATGAAAAAAACTACACGATATACTCACCTGTACACAACATGTATGCTTGTATTGATTATATATTTATGGAACACAGACACTTGGATTTACTTCGAGAGGCCACTATATTAACAGCTACGATATCAGATCACGCCCCTATATCTATTTGCCTGGAGAGACCCGGAGAGAATAGACCTCCGTATAGGTGGAGACTTAACGAACAGCTATTGGCCGACCCTAATATTGAGTCGGCTCTAAAAGAAGATCTCATTCTCTATTTTAGAGAAAACGATACGGAATCTATCTCTCCGGGGATACTCTGGGAAGCCCATAAGGCAACGATACGGGGGAAATTGATAGCACAAGGCGCACGTAAAAAAAAGGAACAAACTCACAAAATCACGGAACTGACTCACAAGATAACCACCCTAGAACGAATACACAAACTGTCTCTGGCGGAAGCTCACCTCCAGGAATTAACCGAAGCACGGGAAGAACTACGTAAGGTCTTACAGGCTAATTATATTAGATCTGTGAACTATTTGTCTCAACAGACCTATGAATTTGGAAATAAGCCAGGCAGGCGATTGGCTGGTATGTTACGTGCCCGCCAAAATACGGGTTTTATTCCCAAAATCAAGACGGCGACCAATGTCGTCACGTATCTCACGACAGAGATAGCCCAAACTTTCAGGGAATTCTATTCTAAATTATATATGTCAGACCTAACCTTTCTAAACTAGCCAGAAAACGACATAACGACTTAATACGCTCGTACCAGGATAAGCTCCCCCTTCCTCAAATTGATCAGACTACAATGACGTCTTTAGAAGCCCCAATATCAGAACAAGAACTGACTGAGGCTATAACTACATCACCGACGGGGAAAGACCCCGGCCCGGACGGGTTCTCGCTAGAATATTATAAAACTTTCCAAACTACACTTTTACCTTACTTATGCACATATTTAAACACTTCCCTCACAGGTAGACCCCCTGACCCCGCTACATTACATGCACATATCTCAGTCTTCCCTAAGCCCGGTAGGGACCCAACTGTCTGTAGCAGCTATAGGCCTATTTCATTATTGAAGACAGACATTAAATTATATGCAAAAATCTTAGCCAACCGCTTGGCCCCTCTATTATCTCATCTTATCTCAGCAGATCAGTCTGGGTTCATACCGGGCAGGGAGGCCAGAGATAATACGCAACGGGCACTGACACTGGTTAATTACGCCTCCACATCTACCCTATCGACTATGATTCTCTCTACCGATGCTGAAAAAGCGTTCGATAGGGTCGATTGGGATTATTTAAATATCACACTTGAACACTTTGGGCTTGGCCCAAGAATGCTACACTCAATTAAGACACTTTACCACAAACCTACGGCACAAATCAAGATTAATGGTAGTTTGTCGCAAGTATTTGAACTCCACAACGGCACCCGCCAGGGGTGCCCTCTATCACTCCTTCTATTTGCACTATCTTTGGAGCCTATGCTCATCTCTATCAGGAACAATATAAATATTAAGGGCATTGAAGTCCAGGGCCAGGAGCATAAGATAGCGGCATATGCCGATGACATTCTTTTCTTTGTCAGACAGCCCAGGACTACAATACCTAATCTCCTTAAAGAATTTGAACAATACGGTATGGTCTCAAACTTTACCATAAACCGACATAAATCAGAAATATTGAATCTCACAGTCCCTCCTCAAGAATGTCAGCACTTACGTAGCTCCCTACCTTTCACATGGAAATCACGTAGACTGAAATACCTGGGCATAAATTTGACTTGTGAATTTTCAGACTTGATGAAGTATAATTATATCCCACTTCTGAATAGCATAAAAGTAGACCTGTCTAGGTGGATAAACGATCGACTCTACCTACTTTGACAGGCAGGATTAATGCTGTTAAAATGAATGTCTTGCCTAGGGTACTATACCTGCTGCAAACAGTGCCTATTTCTCTGCCAGAATGTTATCTGAGAACCATGTGCAAAGTGGTCGATAAATATATATGGAATCGGTCTAGAGCTAGGATCTCCCGACAGACTCTTATTAGGACTAGACGAGAGGGCGGCTTGGCCCTCCCAGACTTTACCTTATATTACTATGCGGTGGCGCTTAATAGAGTGCTGGACTGGACCTACCAATTGGGGAGTAAAAGGTGGGTTGATTTAGAGTCTTCACTAGCAGGCCAGTCTCTACTGATAACACCATGGATTCCACCAGAACATAGAGGGCTTGAGAGCTCTACCTGCCCACTGACTAGGACCACTCTAACTATATGGTCAAAACTGTACTCTCAATTGGTGGGCCCTTACAATTCTCCTCTATTGCCCCTTTTGGGTCACTCATTTTTCCCCCCAGGTATCTTGGACAAAGGCCTACGACACTGGTCTACTAATAAATTCCCCAAACTATATGAGGTCTTACAAGATTCTGGTTGTATAAACACACTACAACAAATACAGACTAGATTCGGCCGTAGACCATTGGATAATTGGCAGTATTATCAGCTACAGCACTTCATCTCCTCTCTCCCCAAACCACTTCGATCTCTGAAAAATTTACACCCATTGGAGACCTTATTATCACAATCAGACTCTCCACTACATGGGCTTTCGCAAATGTATAAAATATTGCTCTCCACTCGGACGTCACAAGACCCGCCATATATATTACACTGGGAGGTAGATTTGGGTAAAATCCTGACCAGTAATCAGAAAAAGATGCTCCTTAACCTCAATTCTGTCTCCTCTATGAGCACTCATGTAGTGGAGGCCTCATTTAAGTTATTGGCAAGGTGGTACTACACGCCGGACCGCCTCCATGCAATACATCCGACTCATTCGTTGGAATACTGGAGGGGATGTGGTTTAGTGGGCACCCATGGACACATATGGTGGTTTTGTCCTAAGATTAAACCTTTTTGGACGCAAGTTACCCAACTTATTACATCCATAACGGAGCAATTAGCACCTAATGATCCTTGGGCATGTCTACTACATTTATCAGAGATATCACCCGTAAGATACCGGAAATTGTTACTACCGCACCTATTGAATGCAGCAAAATTCCTTATCCCAAAATACTGGAACACCGCCACGATACCCACAATTACAGAATGGATACATAAAGTAGATTATCTATGTTTGATGGAGAAACTTACTATGGCACGACAGGAACGCACACCTGTGTTTGAAACTTTATGGGCCCCGTGGAGTGCCTTTTAGGGCTACTGTTCTTTATTAGTAACTGATTGAGTAATTGGAATCCAGGACATAAAATTATAAGTAGGATGAAAGATGCCCATGTCCATTTACATTTCGTTACCAGAATTTATTAGACTCTTAAAAAGGAAGATATAGCTCTAGAAGGCAACAGTGTATATAGGATATAGATCTCTGCACGAACCCCCCTTTCCCTTCCCTCTCTCCCCCCCCTTTTTTCTTCTCTTTTCTTTTCTTTATATCGTGAGTTTGTGAACCCTCCCTGTTCCTATGGTTGTTGGACCACACATACAATAGGCTCTTGTATTTGGTTAACAAATAGGGAGACAGGAAGGATGTAATTAATTGAAGAAGTATAGCAATATGTGTATGTTATATAAGTGATGGTAACACCCGAAGTGTACGGGATGGTTCAATAACTGTGTAAATGTCTATTAATTTATAATAATAAAAATTTAATATTTAAAAAACAAAACAAAACAGGAGCAGCTGTGCATGGCAACCAATAAGCATCTCTATTTCATTTTCAAATCTCAATGGAAATAACTGAAGAGAGAAGCTGACTGGTTGCCCCGGGCAAATGCTCCAGATTGTGTCTACTCCAGTTTTGATAATTCCACTCAATGTACTGCAGCTTACCAGGCCTTAGATGTGATGGCTATATTAGTGTTACTTTTCAGGCTTTTTTTTTCTTCTTTATTTTCAAATTGTAATCCGGAGCATAGCACACTTCCTAAACTAGGTTGACAACATATACGCCAACAAAGTCCACAATAAAGCGCCTAAGTAGGGGGCTGGATTGGTGTGTATGGTTAAAAGTGTCTTATCTGTGCATTTGGAAGAGCACTGAGCACACATAGAGCAATATGCAGATTGTCCTTTAAAGCCTTCAGACTTTTTTTTAGTTTTAGATAGAGTTGGAATGAGTTAAAATCCTGCTAGATTTTTATTTTAGTATGTTAACTCATTTGGGAAAATTCCTGTTATTTCCTTTTATTGTGACACCAGAATAGGAATTTGTGTGAGTGGTCGTCACTGGGACAGAAAGCCACTACTACAATAAAAACCTTGTCAGAAGTTCTAATCCTTCCCCACTCTTTTTTGTTTGTGTCCTTGTTGGAGAGATTTCCCATCAGTTATTTTCCTGACAAGAAGTGAGGTTAATAGACAGACATAATCTGACAATCTAGCCCTCTGGACTTTGGTGCTAAGCCCCCATTTACACCTAATCGTTTTGTAGGGCGTTTCCTGAAACGCAGTAATGCTTGATGTGAAGGATTCCATTATTTTCACTGGTGCCGGTTAACACCTGAGTGTTGTGTTACTTGTTGCTTATCAGCTCAGACTGATGGTTGTGCAAAAACATTAACACCACACTTCTTTTTTTTCCCCCCCTTTTTTTTAGAGTTGGAGTCGGTAAAGCTGGCCCGTGCAGTGTTCAGCAAGCTGCATGAGGTTTGCTGTAGTTGGGTGAAAGATTTTCCTTTGTGCCGGAAGCCGCACTTGTTCTATGATACATCCATACATGCCATCAAGAATATGCGGAGGAAGATGGAGGATAAGCATGTCTGCATTCCTGACTTTAACATCCTCTTCAATCTAGAGGTAAGTGACAAATTGTATACAATTGTAAAAAAAATTTAGATATGAAAACGTTACATCAATGTAATAGGGATCTTTGAGAAGTTACAAAATCCCGTACACTGCAGGATGGGAGATGGAGGGGCGGTTCAGAAAGGCAATCAGACCCTCCTGTATGCACTTGTGCTGACAGGAGAAGAGAGCCGAGTGAGCAGAACTGATTACTCGCTGTCCAAGCAGCAGGCTGCGGTGAAGAGGTAACACCACTATATTCCGTAACTCCAATAGAGAAAGTGGTAATACTCTCTTGCTGTTGTGTCTGGCAGAAGTGTAGGAATCAAAAAGTCACTGGACAGGGCTACACATCCTTTTGTAGATAAACATACCTGAGTCTGAGGTTGTAGCAGGGTGAGAAGTGGGGCAAGGGGAGGAGCTAATAGTAGTACATAGGCAACAAACAGGCAATTGTGACAATCTGAGGGCAACAAAGAAGCAATTGTGACAGTATGCGGTCAGCAAATTGGTGATCATTTCAATACACGGGTAACAAACAGGCAATCATTACAATAAGCAGGGGTGACAATAACTGGCGCTCCGTCCCCTTGTTTGCCCCTTGACTTACCTTTGCATGCCGTGTCCTGGAGGCCTGGAGTAGAGATACTTCTTGCTGCATCTGGGGGTCTTCCACTAGCCGCGTTGGGGGGTCTTCCACTTGTTGCATCGAGGGGTCTGTTCTTTACTTCATCTAGGGTTTGCCACTTACTATATAGGGGGTATGTCATTTGCTGCATCTCTGGGGTCTGCCAAATGTTCCATCTGAGGATGCATGTGACCATAGGGAGGAGCTTGTGGAGGAGAAAGCATAGCCTGCATTTTCATCTGGCTCTGACTGAAGTAGTGACGCTGCTGTCACTATTCCTTTTGGTGTACTGGCAGGAGAGCTGGAGGCTCTCAAATTGATTAGCCAGTGTCTCCAGTTGTAAGCCAGAGTTCCCAGTTCACATTGGCAATTTCGATGAGGCAGTTCACATATTCTGTATATTGTCTATTTAGCTGGCGTTTAGTTTTAATGCCGAGTGCAACAATGATGCATAAAGGGCAGTAGCACAAAGCAAGCAACCTAAGTTAGTGATAGTAGAATTATAATTGCTTAGGGTTACTAAACTTTGCAAACAGTTCTTTGTCTCGCCAAATAAACATGATAGTGTATTATGTATGTTACTTGGGCATTTGTAGGATTCACATAGAAAAACTTCTTCAAAGGGATGCTTTTCCCATAGAACGCTCTAGTTACCTTAACCACTTTGAAGACCGGGGTGTTAACCCCCTTCCTGGCTAAGCCATTTTTCAGTATTCAGCGGTGCAGTACTTTGACATTTATTCAGTCATGCAATGCTGTACTAAAATTAATTGTATACCTTTTTTGGGGACAGATGGAGCTTTCTTTTGATGGTATTTAATGACCACTGGGGTTTTTATTTTTTACTATATCAAGGAAAAAAATTACCAAAAGTTTTGAAAAAAAAATGTTTACGCAACACTATATTATGAAACATTTATTACTAACCAATATTATTGTAAAATATAAAAGATGGGGTCACGTCGGGTAAATAGACACCAAACATGTCAAGCCTTAAAATTATGCACACCTGCGAAACAGCAAAACACTACAATACCCAAAATTGCCCAAAGGAGACAATTTAAAAGCTTTGACCGCTCATCCTTAGGTTAGTGTTATTAATGATTGATGGCCCTAGAATTATTGCTTGCACTCCAATGTTCGTTGTGATATGTAACATGTGTGGCGCAATTGGAATTTTTGCGTGTGGGCGAGGAACTTAAAACATTTTTTTTTGGGGGGGGGGGGGGTTCTTTTTTTTTTAAATATGTGACAAATTCTTTTTTTTTTACACTTAATGTTATTGCTATCACATAGGGGGCTAACAACCCCCTGTGTAATAGCACAGGCACCTGACACATCCTCTTTATGAAGACATCAGGTGTCTCTAAGACCCTTAATGTCATCTAGGGACCCCCAAAGAAGCTGATGAAGCACAGATCTGCTTCATCAGCTTCTTCTCGGGCTACAGCAGCCAGAGAAATTACAAGCTGAATGCGGAAGTGATGTAATACACATCACTTTCTCATTCAGAGATCAGAGAGGAGAGTAGCAGGTGGAAGAGGGCTGATCTCCCTCTGATCTTAATGCCGTGAGCTGCTGAGCTGGTCTCAGGCCCGCAGAGGGGACAGCAGAGCCCGGAAAAGCCGGTAACATCGGTGGAGGGGGGCATTGCCGAAAGAGGGGCACACACTGCCACCGTACAATTGATCGGACAGCTATAGAGCTGCCTGAACGCTTGAATGCTTGTATGTAACAGCAGTTACCAACTGTTTACAACAGTCAGACCCCATTCACACTGAGCGACATGGAAATCGCGCGACTTTGAGCGATATTGAGCAACGTTGCGCGACTTCAGTAGCAGGTGGGAGAGGGCTGATCTCCCTCTAATCTTAATGCCGTGAGCTGCTGAGCTGGTCTCAGGCCCGCAGAGGGGACAGCAGAGCCCGGAAAAGCCGGTAACATCGGTGGAGGGGGGCATTGCCGAAAGAGGGGCACACACTGCCACCGTACAATTGATCGGACAGCTATAGAGCTGCCTGAACGCTTGAATGCTTGTATGTAACAGCAGTTACCAACTGTTTACAACAGTCAGACCCCATTCACACTGAGCAACATGGAAATCGCGCGGCTTTGAGCGATATTGAGCGACGTCGCCTCGACTTCTTCCTATTGGGCTGTATGCAATCAGGAGCAATATCGCTCAAAATCGTTCTAAAAAAGGGTCATGTAGGAGCGACAAGCTACCAGCGACGAGCTACAAGCGATATTGAGCGACGAGATGTGAACAGCTACATTGAAATGTATTGGTGAAGCTACATAGAGCGATATAGCGCGGAAATATGAGCAATATCGCTGCAAAAATCGTGCTATAAATCGCTCAATGTGAACGGAGCCTCAGTGTGCTATGCCTTCAAGTGTGCTTGGGGGCGTGAGCAGAAAAAAAAGCCGTATATTTATGGCGCCCCGCTGTAGGGTGCTTGCTGTCCGTTCGTACGTTTATTTACAATGGGCGGATGGCAAGTAGTTAAAGGGCATTTCCACCTTTTGCAGCCAAATTGGGCTAACAGAGAACTTTATATTGCTACATGTTTCCCATTCACATAGCATAACTTTCAACAGTATTTAAAAATGTACTGCTTACTTTACTTATATTTTACTTTACTACTTTACTACTACTTTCTACTATGGGGTGTGAGGTGTTTACCATAATTAACCCTGTCTGTACTGTTCCAGCAGATCTCCATTATCGGTTATAAATGAGATCTGTACACTGTCCGAACAACAGGTTAAATATCTCAAGGTTTGGGTGTCACATTGTATGTTAATGCACTTTGTCCCTTATCTGCACATAGTCCTCTATTCTAAGCAATAAAAGCTGTTTATAGGGTCCTCTGTATAAACCTGTTCTAAAGAAACCATTAGAAAGGTAAGAAATATATATAACAGGTTTGCTGTGTGAATGGGAACACATTAACATATAGTGGGGGATTTCTCAAAGGTGACTGCAAAGATGGAAATGCACTTTAAATTTCAACTTCCTATATCTGACTTTCTCTAGTGTTACCACTACCGAGGGCCATTATTCATTAGAGAGCTTGCCTGAAGTGGCATTTATGGTTCAAACAGCTGCATATATTTTTTGACAACAATATTATCAGCAGGTCTCAGCACTGGTTTATAAGAGATCAGCCATGTCTAGCTAAATGAATTGCTTTCTGAGGGGAAAGTACTGCATTGGATATTCTTTATGTTGCTAGTTTTTTCAGCACTAATGTTCTAGGGATAGCAGCAGATTTTTATGGTTGCCAGTTTTTCTCTTTATTAAATAACTGGTAAAGGGAAAGAAAACCATGTTCTGATAAAGAAAACTACTCATAAATGTAGAATTAAAAGTAAACAAAGCAGCAAATTAAGGGTAATTAGCAGGTCGAATTGAAGTGTATGCGTTGTTTTTGAAATGTTTCTCTAGCTTTATTTGTAAATAACCCGCTGATATTTGCAAGTTGTGTTCGTCATCTAAAATACATTCAGCCTCAATGTAAGGTGATAAAACAAAAACCTGTTGCATCATCATTTCGGGTATCAGATTGACAATCTAACTTTTGCAGATTATGTTTTTTACATTTCTTTCTAAATGAAATTTAGTCTGAACTGCCCCCCTGCATTAGGCCCCCTCACACTTGTTAAACATATCTCAATCTATATATCTTTACATACAGATATAGAAGAAGGGTGTTCTGGACAGTCTGGTGACATCACAGGTCATTTCTCCTTCTCCTGGGGATGGTGGTGGACAGTCCCTTACAGCTGCAATGTACATTGCTCACTTAATGACTTGTGAGCACCCTTCAATGCAGTAGTATTCTAAACTGAGGTTGCATGATAAGAGAAGGGTTAACGACATCCTGGGTTTAAAGCAGGGATGGCCAAACTCCCGCCCTCCAGCTGTGGCGAGACTACAAATCCCATGAAGCATCTCTCTCCGGGAGTTATGTCTGTGAGAATCTTGCAAAGCCTCATGGGATTCGTAGTTCCACCACAGCTGGAGGGCCGCAGTTTGGCCATCCCTGGTATAGAGGAAGTGGGTTGAATGGTGCTGGCTGTCACACATCCCAGAAGACTCTAGTGGAAAAAATAATTACTGCAGTGGAATTAAAAAAACATTTCCAATAGCTGTAGGTATCAACCACAGTATAGGAAGAACACTGTCGGACTGCAGGTTTCTAACTATATTTATACCAGACTATGTGCCCTTTAGAACCTGGCAGGTTCTTCAGGGGTGGTGACCACAACAAAATAGGACCCTCTTTCAAAACAATCCAACTTATAGATCTTTTTGTACATACACTTGAGGAGGAAATTAACCATTTTGCAATAATTTACTAAGGGGCTGATGTATAAA